GATCAACGCCTAAACTCAAGAATCGCGCCATACGGCCATTTGAAGAAGAACCTTGCAAAGAGCACGGTAAGCAAGATCAGCGCCGTTTGACCCAGCCTTTGCCACAGATCGGGTACTGAGCTATTGGCTCACTAGCATAGGCGATCCTGTCATGGATCTGCAGTCAGTTTCGATGGGGACCCCTTTCGCTATGAATACGAGGTGCATCCGAGCGCTATTACCAGATAACTGTAGCAAGCAACTGGACGCAGGTTACGTCCCATGAATCGCCACCTAATTGGATGTGGTGGGATCACGCCTGACCATCTGCAGAAGTTTCATTCTGCGACCGTATAGACAGACATTCCCTAGTTGGTCACCAGTGCAGATGAGTCATGAGTCCACCACGATAACAACACGCGGCACGCCTGGTGGCTACCTCGCAGCCTGGACCCACCATCTCAACCAAAGCCCGAGCTCTTTCATCAGAGGATATTACCCCCGTTTGTTGGATTCGCTGGGTATCCCGTTTTGAGAACCATTCACTTTATGCAGACAAGCATTGCGAAGGTAACCATGGAATAACTCCCAAGTTGGCCGCAGCAGTGCGAGAGAACGTTCGAAACGTCTCAAAATCTCCTTCCTCCGAATGAACGCCCGACCTCACATTGCAAAGATAACTCGCCACGTTTGAGGGAAACTGGCTGGACCACGATACCACATCTATCGTATAGCCCTGACATTACTCCATCGTACTATCCCTCCCAGCGCCCTGAAGCAGCAGCTACGAGAGAAAAAAGTCAGTAAATACAACCACCCAAAAACGACCTCTCCGAACTTTTCATCCACAGCTTCACTCGTTCATTCGTTCCTAGGCAAAGGGATGTATCTCAGAGATTATGATGGTGGTTATATTTTTTATCAATTGTCTGTCTCTAGACATGAAGCACTGAGCCTGAGGTACGTCGTTCTAGAAACAAAGTCAGAACTCCACTACCTTCTAGAGAATCGCTGTTGATGGTTCTGTAGTTTTTAAGAGTCCTCAATGTTCAGGTGTACTACTACGGCAACATCCAAATTGGAACTCCTCCTCAGACATTCAGCGTTCTTTTCGACACTGGGTCATCAAATTTGTGGGTACCGTGCTCGAACTGTGATCCTTCAAATACTGCTTGTCAGGAGCATAGGAAGGTGAGGTGAAGACAGCAATATTCGTCATGCTCAATTCCTCTTCCAGTTCAACTGCGCACGATCGGAGAGTTGCATCCAAACAGGCGAGTTATTAGGGATGACTTACGGAACAGGTGCAGTGAGTGGGGTCTTCATGCTTGACGTCGTATGCGTAAGTTCCGCAACTATATGAACTTTTCACGCAAAGATATGTTTCTGCTCCTTGCAGTTCGGTACAGATCGGAAATACTGTACGAATAGATTTCAAGGACTGACTTGCGCCATGGAGGAACCTGGGAATACTTTCGTAGTACGTTGGAGGACTCTAGATTAGCACATCAGAGAGGCACGCCAGAAGATTATTTCAGGGGATGAAAAACGACGGCCTTCTAGGTATGGCATGGGACTCAATCTCTTACAACATTCCTACACCTATGGACCACATCTACGCTAATAAGGTTAGTTACGATGCGCATACCTCAAGCAATTATCCATGTGTGGTCGTAAAGATCAGCCACGGTGTCGCGGAAAATTTCCGGATACGATCCGTCAACTATTCCTTTCAGAAACTTGAATTACACTGTACCGTGTTTCCACAAAGGGAGACGAACTAGAAACGTACACATTTTTAGACAGATGCAATTCACAGAATACATTATCAAAAAGAAGTGAATGCATTTAAGAGCCCTTGCACTTGTATTTTCCAAAAAGTTGAATTTTTATGAGTGCTTTGGAAATATGCTTCTACCCTCGCCTTCAAATGACCAGAAATTGTGCAATTGCAGAAATTGACGTGGCATTGGCACACGTGGCTAAATTCTCGATGAAAAGGTGACATCACGTGTGCTCAAAGATGTTCTTGAATCGATGCCACGTTAATGCCACGTCAATTTCTGCAATTGCACAATTTCTGGTCATTTGAAGGCGAGGGTATATTTTCTTTGCACGCTTTTGGTAATTACGTTTTTAGAAATCTGAATTACTATACTTGCACACGAACGATTACAACACAGATCCTTCCAACATGTGTATACACAACGCATCAAAATTTTGCTTGGCGACCTTCGGAACCTAACGTGTCCTGGCGCTTCACACCTTCCGTAGAGCTCACTTCCAGCTCTTAGCTCAACACCTCGTGGAGGGTGTGTGTATTCGCAGATAGCAGTCATGACGTCAGGTTACAATTCACCTCAACACTTATTTGGAACTTGATTTTGTTGGCGAGCGAATATTTTGTCCTCTCCTTCCATCCCTCCACCCCCTCTCTGCCTCGGTTCTCCTACGTCGCCAACCCGGTGAGAAATAGTAGACAGCGAGCTTAACGTCATTGCGTTATACACCAGTTGAAGTGTATGACAGAATGTCATCATAACCACGGCATCACAATCAGACTGATACCTAAACGTCGACTTGAACAACAGATTTGTTGAAGTTCGGTTGTTTTCTCCCTCTTTGCCCCCTTGCCATCCTCTACCACAGCAACTCCCAGTTATGTGCTCATTGGGTATTTATAAATGATACAGTGGTGTTATCACGACCTTACCAACGAAACACAGGCATCACGAGACCGCTGGTGAACAGGCATCCCTACAGACCGATAAATCGACAGAGCAAGTTAGGGCTTTAGAGGCGCAGGATGCGCTCAGCTTTCTTATCGGCGCAATGAGGGGAAAACAAATGGGTAACTCTATTGCAGAAAAGACGTCTGCTTTGATTGGGCAGTTTGACATGTCCTCCACCCCTCCAGTTTCCATGTCTTATGCAGGAGGCCACCGCGGCTTTGTCCAACGATGGCTCACTTGCCTAGTACTGTCTGGAAAGGTAAAGAAAGTAAGAGAAACCCCCGTTCACGCCCCGAACACGGCTCCCTCCCTTCCGCATTCCACCTGGGAGAAGGGGCGCGTTGGACGAGTTTCACGAACCTAACTCTAGTTGCTCCAGTGCCAATGACATTGGGTCGCAATGGGACCGCTGCCTCAAATGCGCTCAAGCGGACTCCCTGTTTCTGGCGCTGTGTTGATTCATACCAGCTGTCTCCACTCAGGCGCATCCATGCATGCTTGCGTGTGTGGTGCGCTCTGTGTGTGTGCGGTTGGTATCGTGGCATGCGACAGCGGAGGGTGGGGCTTGCGGACGAAGGTGTGAGTTGCGGGTGGACGAGCTCCTTGCGCCTTTGTCGCGCACTTTCAAGCCGCAAAAGGGGCGCGACATCAACACTTGTCCGCCTGTTTACTACCTTGGAATGGAACAGGTGGCCTGCCAATCGCGTAGTGCCTTTAACAGAACAATCAAACACATAATAATTGGCTATTAACAGTTTGAATACTTTGTTGAAGTACTCTGAAGTCGCTGAAAGCTTAACGGAGCCTGAGCATGGAGCTAATAGTCGATGCCTATTCAGGTTTCTCCTTCAATTTTCCGAAAAACACGGCAGAGATATCTAGGGAAGCATGAATTCGAAAAGTTCTCAACCCTTTTCCCCTACTGCAAAAATCAGATCGCTGCACTTTGCCTAGGTGTTTGTATTGGGTTGGTGCATAATATCGTAGCGCTCGCATTCGGCAAAAACGTTCAAAGCAAAACCCAAAAGCAAAGCCAAGCATAAAACTAATCAGTGATGTTCTTCTCGTCATTATTTACGACTTTGATTCCATTTCGCAAGAAATTACCGGGTTTAGAATTTAAAAAAAGGGTACTGAGCCCGTTTTCAGAGTCCTCATAGCTCGAGAAAAAAAAACGCTACGTTATTATGCACCAACCCAATACAAAGCTAGGACAAAGTAACTTTCAACCAAATACCTGCTATAGACACTATGCCCAGAAGCACTTTTTGCTTTCTATTTATCTAATGACGAGGAAAACAACAACGATGGAGTTATGACACTCTGTGGAACGAATCCTGCTCATTATAAGGTAACGCTCTATGAAGCTTAAGAAAAGTGGTTACAATAATCGACAATTTTGAAGGAACCAATCGTTTGGGTGCCTTTGAGTGGCGAGAATTACTGGCGAATCAATTTGGATGCTGTTACCATCCAAGGATCGCCGAATAACCTATGGACCAGCTAGCGCTGCCGTTGATACCGGTACTTCGCTGATTGCCGGGCCGAGTGATGTTATCGAAAAGGTTTTTGCTTGGGGAATATAGCCTCTGCTTACAGTCATTCATTCCTTCGTTTAAAGATTTTTCAAGTAATCGAGGAGTACGACTGCACAGATGTTCTTCAACTTCCATCGATCACATTCAGTGCTGGTGGCCACAGTTTCACTCTCAACGGATCAGACTATATTACTCAGGTAGTAATTGGATGTGGCGGCAAAGCACGTACGAAAAACTACTGACAAGGGAAGGATACCAGGTCGAAGTGGCCATTTGTAACGAGACATACACCACTAGATGTGTTTTTGGACGCTTATCTCAAATCT